TCCTGCCCCCGAGGGCCCTGGCCGTGCCATCTCTCCTTCCAGTCCTGCCCCCGAGGGCCCTGGCCGTGCCATCTCTCCTTCCTGTCCTGCCTCCTGCTTCGCTCCTCTCCTCCAGGCCTGTCCACCCTCTCCCAGGGCCTGCAAGTGGGAAGCTAAAGATGCTCTTCCGGGAGATGCTGTCTCTGTGTGGGCTGAGCGGCCTGAAGACTCGCTTCCCGCCCTCGCTGCCGTCATTTGTCAGTTCCAGGCCCAAGGTTTTATAACAGCGTGGTCTTAAAATGTTCTAAGTTTAATTTCTCTGCTTTTGGCCTTTTAAGGACATAAATTGGCCTTGAGCAGTAGACTCTTTTAGCGTGGTCACGTGAGCCTCCCCATAAATCTGCTACACCCACCCCACCCGCAGGTCTGGAGACGCGCCTGTTTCCTTTCCCCTAAAATCTTAAAATATATTTTACAGAAGTGAATTCGCTGCAGCTGACTCCTTTTACCTCCGTCCCCCCGCTCGGGTAGACTGGCTCTTACACCAATTTACTAGCTCTTTCCGAAAGGAGGCCTATGTCTCTATTTTTGAAGCATAAATCCTGTCCTAACTTTGGAGAGCCGAAAGTCATGGGAACGTTTGTCCCAAGGTCAGCTTTTCAGAGTATGGCGAGAGAAGCTTGGGGTCTCGAGAGCACACGGACGGGAGCCGGGTGGGGGCTCCCGGCAGCGCTGGCCCCTTCTCCAGCAGCAGCATGAACGCGGGTGAGCTCTCGGGGCTCTGATGCCCTCGTGGTGGTTACAGTCCCCTCTGCTAATGTCGAGCTCAAGGTCCCCGCCACATGGTTTGCTCTGGGAGGAGGACGCTGCGGGGGCTGTGCACAGACAGTAACTTCTCACCAAAGGCCGTTGATAGGTTCTTGGAAATGCGACCAAGCAAAGCTGTGTATTTAACAAAACCAATTTCACCACAGGCTAATTAATGTAAGTAAAAGTTAAGTTCCTGTGACAGCTTCTGATCACAGAAACATCACCACACTTCTACGGAGACCTGAGACACTTCTAATATTAACCAGCAATTCAGGAATTCCCAAGTGGTTTATTCCAGCTCAGGGTCATGGCTGGCCAGCCCTGGCCCAGCAGCCCAGGGTGGAATCCCCCCAGGCAGGGTCCTGCTCACCCCCCACCCGCTGCTCGCTCAGAATGGGGCAGCTGAGATACAGCAGAGGCGCTCGGGCGCGTCTTAAATCTGAGACGAAATTGGAGGACTGGGAGAAACGTGCAGATGTGAGGAGAACATGCACGTCCTAGCCAGACCGTGGCCCTGGGTTTCCCCGTGTTTTGAAGAAATGACGTTGCGTGAGGCCCAGCCGTATTCACCATTTGTGTCACCATCATCGCCACGGTGGGTTTCAGACCGTTTGCCACTCCAGGAGAACCCCGAGTCCATCAGCAGCCCCTCCCCACAACCCCCTGCCCCCCAGCACTGGGCTGCCTCCTTTCTGTGTCTCTGGAGTGTGTAACTACCTTCACGTCCGCGAAACACATGCTGTGTGCTCCCTTGCGATGAGCTTTGCTTGCTTAGCAGTGTTTTGAAGCCCACCTCTGCTGCAGACAGTGTCGGCGCTGGGTGCCTGTCGGTGACGAAATATTACTCCGATGGAGGAATCTATCGCGTTTTGTTTTTAAGTTGATTTAGGGCTGCCTCCACCTTTGGGGGCGTTACAAATAAGGCTGCCACGATTGTTCTTGTAGAAGAATACCGTGTGGCTAAGTGATTTTTTTCCCCTTGGGTAAATACTTAAAAGAGGAATCACTGGGTTGGATGGTGAATTTTTTAACCTTTTCAGGAACTTTCAGGCGAATCAAAACAGCTGCACTATTGGGGTTCCAATAGTGGTGGAACCCCATAGTGGTGTGGGGCTGCCGGTTTTTCTGCATCCTCACCAGTATTGCTATTGTCTGTTTTTTTGATGGTGCCGACGTAGTGGGTGTGTAGTGATATCTTACTTATTGTCTCCTTCGGTACACTGTATTTTTATTGTTGTTGTAATGTTCATGCCATATATGGGATACAACTTTCTGTCAGATATAGGATTAGCAAATAGTTTTCTCCTATTCTGTGAATTGTCTTTTCATTTTCCTGAACGGGATCCTTTGAAGTTCAGATTTTGATGAAGCCAAACTATTTGTTTTCCTTTCATAACCAACACTTTTGGTCATGTTTAGAAAACTTTGCCGAGCCCAAATCACAGACGCTTACTACTATGCTTTCTTCTAAGAGTCTTATCTTTCGAGGTTTTTTCCTCACGTTAGAAGACGGGGTCCAGCTCCATTCATTTGCATGTGCGCAGTTAAGTTGACGTATCACCATTTATCGACTTTAAATTTTTTTTTTTTAATTTAACTTGTTAAATCTTTATCCCGACCCTTTGACGTGGGCCTGTTACTACCCCCAAGGAGGAGAGGTGTGGTCACTTCCCTGGGCTCACTCGGGCCCGACAGCAAGGACGAGTCAGACCCAGTCAGCTCGGCCCAGAGGCCCTGCCGCTTCATTTACCCGCCTCCTTACCTGCCTGTCTCACGGGGAAGAACTACCTCAGAAACAGTCCTTTGGTCCTGAAGAGAAAGCATTTTATTTCTTATAGGCTGTGGTTATGGTGGACGCTTCTGCTTCCTTATTCTCTCTGAGGTTAGTGAGTGCAATTAGTCGAGCAGCAACTCGCATAAATTCGGGGCCACAGTTTCAATTCCTCCTTGGCTGGCTGCTTCGGCTGTATCACCTCCTGCCACCTAGGCCGTGTCGTTTGGGGAGGGCGATGGCCCCTGGGCCTGCAACACCCCCAGACCGCACGGGCCTGGCAGGCCGGGCCGCTGTCCCATCGGCACGCTCGGGCCAGGCCTGGCTCTCCCCAAGGAGGCACAGCGCGAGCAGCAGACTGGCGGCCAGACCTCGGCTCGAGGACGTCACTTGTGGGTTGCCGATCTGGCCTCACTGTGTCATCATTGGGGTGGACGGGCTTAACCAGTTCAGCACTTTCTGGCTCATTAACCCGTGGGTAGAACTTTCATGCGATAAAATAGAGTCAGTATTAAAAATAGGTCGTAGTCTTAAGTGTACTCAATGATTCATCTGCTTGAGTGAACTTGAGTGCAGATACCTAGAGAACTAGAATTCTCTGCAGTCAAGCTTTCAATGATGTCCTGCTTTTACCAAGTGGTTTCCTTTGGTCTCTGGGCAATTGTTTCGGCCTCTTGGCTTATTATGCTCATTTCCACCCCTGCTACTGTATTCGGAGAAACCAGCCCTGTGCCAGTAGAGCAGCAGCCTGTGGTGAGATTGAGCAACGGGGAGCTGACTGATCTCGTCCCGCCCCCAGGCCGTGCAGGCCACGAGGGCAGGGACTCTGTCTTGGGCCACCTCCTCCCCCGGGGGCTGGCGCGGGACTCAGCGCCTGGCTGGATGTGGGAGAGACTCGCCGGGATGCTCTGGTGGGGCCGAGGACTTAGTCTCGCGACGTCTCCACTGCGAGGGTTTCCAGTGGCTCCCTGCGCTGGAGGCCGGCGGTCTGTGGAGTCGCCGAGGAACTTGGTGACGAGAAGAGAGCAAAAGCACACCGTATGACTCGCAGAGGAACAGGCTGCAGGAAGTCAGGCCGAGTCTGCTGTGCTGGTTTCATTTTTCACAAAAGGGAGACATCAAGAGGAAGGAAACAATGCTAGGGACGCAGAGACGAGAGCCAAGCGCACCTTGCTGGGCGGGTGACTCCGTTGGTGACCAAGCCGGCCTGTTGCAGCGTTTTCTGGGGCGGCACTTACACCAGCTAGCTCAGCTTCGTTTCACAGACCCTGAAGCTGGCCGGGGCTGTGATCTGCCGTGTTAAGTAGCCCCCAGGTGGAGAGGCTTGGGCCTGACTCATGTCCTCAGGCTTCGCGGTCAGTGTTTTTTTTTTAAACACCGTCTAACCCACCTACTTCTAGAGAACTCTTTCAGCAATGATCCCAAGAAAAATTACAAAGGGAGTAGGCACTTTGGATGCCATTTCATTAGGTAACCATTCATCTGGAGGGAGTTAGGGAAGAGCCAGGGGATAGCTGCCCTAAGTAGACGCTTATCTTCATTGGAATTTCGTTTCATAAACTCCTTTGAAGTGCGCGGCAGCTCTGAAGGTCAGCCCCGGGCAGCGGGCAGCATGAGTCACCTGGCTGGCTCACCAGGCTTCGCCACCCTCCGGGCAGGAGATGCAGAAGCTGGGGGATTGTCCGTGGACAGGCCTGGGTGACCAGCTGGCTGCTGAGCTGAGAAGGGACCAGGCAGTGTTCAGGGCTGTGTCACTGTTCTCTCTTCATGTCTCACCAGGTTTCGAAGGGAGCACCTGTGAGCGGAATATCGACGACTGCCCCCACCACAAGTGTCAGAATGGAGGGGTCTGCGTGGACGGGGTCAACACGTACAACTGCCGCTGCCCGCCGCAGTGGACAGGTAAGGGCCACGGGCCAGTCAGCCGCGCCTCGGAGGCCGGTGTCCCCGGGCGGGCTGGTGCCGCGGGTGCAGAATCAAGGGTCTCCTTGCTTTGACGCCCACGTTAAAGGCAAAAGTATCGTTGCGCGTCTGTGTTCATGACTCTGAGCTCCGCGCTGGGTGCCGGCACAGGGGCAGGGGAGCGCCGTTGCCAGACCTGGCGACTGTCGGGGAGGGCGGCACAGAATTCTGAGGCCAGGCCGTGCTGCAACACACCGTCTCCGTCACACACGGGCGACCGCTCAGTGTGCTGATCTCTCGCAGAGGCCAGCTCAGGCCTGCACGCCTGACCTCGGCGTCCCCCACATCTTTCAGGAAGGTCCGACGGGAGGGGAAATGGCGACTTGTCCGGCGCCACTGTGCGAAAGGCTCAGACCTCTGCGCAGATGCTTTAAAACCCCCTAAGAGCCCAGTAAGCTGAGCTCACGGGGTTCAGAGTGCAGAGCTAGCCCGCACGAGGGAATCCACCATCTCATCCGCGCCCTTCACCCCCAGGGTGGGCGGACACGCTTGGTGACAGCGTTCTTGTGACATCCGGCCACACTGCTCCTTTCCCCCTTTTCTATCCCTGTTGTTGGAACACAGAAAAAACTGTTTTTGCACACCCTGGCTTTATAGCACGGCGCTCTTGTTCAGTTTCACAGCCTCTTGGAAATTGCTTGTGTAGTCTGAGGCCAACCGCTCACGTCATCTTGAAAGGAAAGTGATTTTATACAGCTTTGGCCCAGTTTGTATAGCAGAGCTGTAGTTATGTAGCCACTGCAAGGGGAGGCGCTGAGGGGACGGGCTAAGGGGCTGAGATGGAGCCTTCGGGAGTCACTGAGGGGTTAATGTGCAAACCCAAGAGGGCGCCAGTGGGGCTGCAGGCAGGGCCCAGGGCGGGCAGGGCCAGGCAGCGGCTGCGTCCAGGCGGACTGTGATGCCGGGCGGCCTTCCCGCTCGCGTCCTCTGGCGACTCGAATGCTTTCCCTTGTCGTAGCAGCTAATTATTTAGAGTACTCTTTGGCGCTCCACATCATGATTAGAAAAAGATTAAACGGAGCTTACAACTTCAATTACATGATTTCCTGGAAGGGCACATATTTCTGCTTTTAATCCTCAAATGTCCTTTTTAAGACTTTCCCACCAGTTTTCCTTCGAACTGGACTTCCCCTAGAATTTCTTCCCGGTGCCACGAGCCTCAGACACCTCCCCGCTCTGCTCCCTCCACCGGTGTCTCTCTTCCCTCTAGCTTTCGTCAGTTCTCAGAGTCCATTCTTCTTGAGTTAAAGAAATTAGTGAAATTATTTATGTGAAAAGCAGTGACTGGAAAGATGTGAATTTTCCTTTTCCTTAATGGTGCCGTGGGCAGCCGGGCCGTTGCCGGGAGTGTGCCCCTGTCCGAGCCCGCCGGTGCCGGGGGCTGGGGCGGGGGGCGGGGCAGGGCCGCGTGGGGCCTCGGATGCCAGTGCAGAGCAGACCCCTTGCTGGGTGCCCCGCGACGCCCCAGGCTCCTGCGTGATCGGGAAGCTCGCCTCGTGGGAAGTTTTCCCCTGTGAAGGTGTTCTATAAGAATCTCTTACCCTAGGATGTTTAGCGACTACCTTCTTTCTGCAAAAGCCCTGTAGGGTGTTACCCCATGTGGCTTTGTGTTTTCTAGGAAGCGGGCACAGGCGCCGGGCAGGCTCCGTGGAGAGTGCCGGGCCTCCCCGGGCCTGCCCGGGCACCTGAGGCCCCGCGGCTCCCCTCAGCCACGCAGCCCTTTGGCCCACCGGAGCAGAGGAGCGAGTCCTTCCCGTCCTCACCCCAGGCCCGACTCCTGGGCAGCCTCCAGGTCCCTCCGGTGGGACGTGCTGGCCAGCAGCGGGCGGCCGCGTCGCGTCTGCCTTCCTCGGTCTCCGGCCGCTCCATCACTGCCATGCCCTTTGATGCCTTCTCTCCCCCCACCCCACTGGCCTCAGGCCGAGCTGAGCATCCCGGGCCCCTCCGCCACTGGGCGGCGCAGGGCCGTGTCCTGCACGGTGCCCGGCGCGGGTCACGGCGGCTGCGCTGTTGGTGACACCTGCTCTCAGCGCGTGGCCGACCGTGCGCCCGCCCGGACGCTCCTGAGTCCGAGAGGACCTGAGGCTGTGGCGTCACGGGGCTGGGGTTTCTGCCGCGTCAGAGGGGAAGAGCGGGCCCAGGTTTCCTGCTCTCGCAGAGACAGCCCGACGCCTGCGCTTGGTGCAGGTCTTATTTTGTTGAAACGTTGTGGTAACGGTGTTTTGGTAGAACAAATACCCGCCTCACGGAGGAGGGCGGCTTTCAGAAGGATAAAGTTAGTCGCTCGAGACACAGATGGTAGGGTGTGAATCTAGGCTTGTTAACTTGCTGGAATCTTGCTCTCTTTTTCTCTGCACCTTGAATCTGTGAGGGGGCTCTTCATTCGATTTTAAGTTCAGACGGTCAGTTAATGATTCTAGGACATGGCGAGTCCTCTTCCTGTTTTTCCTTCGTGAACGTTGGATTGGTTACTGTGGAGTGGATGTTTTATATTCAGTCTGGTACTTTTCCCACTATACCTATCAACTCCATTACAGTTACAAATTCCCTTTACCACGCCCCGCTGTGGAGGTGAAGCATGAGCTGTTTGGTCTGGCGTGGAAGGGAAGGTAATGGAGTAGGGTGTGGAGAAGGGAATGAAGTCGCCAGCCACCTGAAGAAGGGCTGGGGTCAGAGAGCTTCAGGGCTCGTGTCGATTTGAAGTGAGCGACGCCGTGTTGCCAGTGAGCAGTATTTTGTACGTGCACTTACATAGGAGACTTGGTCTTTTCTAGCTAGTTCTGGACTTGTAGCTGGCCAGAAAATTCTCCAAGTCTCTCCGCGGTTTGATTTGGGGTCCGTAATTTGACCACCTTTTGCTTGGCAGGCGTTATCACTACCCGTGGAGTCATAACTCTTGACTGGGTAGTAGGAGAATAAATAGTGCAGTAAAAAGCCTTTCAGCTCTTTTGCTTATTCAAAGAAAACACCCCAGGCCCACCCTGTAATACTTAGCCCATAGTCCCATCTCGGTACTGAACGTGTGAAATGTGACTGGTCGGAGTTTACAGAGGGACCCAGATCCTGAAGGCTTAGTTTGGGAAAACCTAGCTTGTGTCATTGATGATATTTTAGATACTGTTTGGATGGTGAAGGGAAGAAGTTTTGGCTACATTGAGCTAAAGAAAACATGATAGCGGAATTAATTTCAGCCAGTTTCCCTGACCTGTTTTTGAGCATCTGCAGGAAATGTAAAGTTACGTCTGTTCTTGGGTGGTGACCACGTCAGACACGAAACACGCTGCCTGTGCCCCAGCTCAGAGCCGGAGCAGGCCGGCTGTGCCTTCCAGAGCGCCCCTCCTCCCGACTGCTGGGGGAGAGGCGGCTGGAGCGTGGGCTCTTCTGAGGACGTCAGACATGGATGTCCGCTGACGGTCCTCTACACGGCCCTCGGCCCCTGCTGTCACCTAAGAGGAATTCTGCCCCTGCAGGGACCTCGTTAAGGGAAAAAAAGTTACAAAAGGCCCGAATTAATCAAAGCAGCATAGATTAATATTTTGTCTACACCAGTTATCTGAGTTCTTTTTAAAGGTTCATTTCCCTCAGAATTAAGTTGCCTCCAAACTCAACTCGCAGATTCTCCTTGGGCAGCTTTTTGTTTTGGGTTCACGCATGGGGCAGACGTGATTTATCTTCCTGTACTTGTTATTAACCGAGAAGTGTAATTTCAGCTTGGGTTTGCAGAGAGTGCTTTGGGACACTGAGTAACAAAATGAGCAATGGAATTGAGGTGAGCGTGAATCCGGTAAAAGTAGCCACCTTGCCTCTTGGCTCTCTCAGCTCAGTGAGCCTGGAGAACTAGCTACGATGCCCTGCTGCAGGTCCGCCGGGTGCAGGAACCCCAGGGGTACGGCCAGGGGCGCCCCGGGGCGGGGGTAGACTCTTCTTGTGGTAACGTTTTGTGTGGGGACGCGCTGGCCCATCTCAGTCCAGCCTTTGGCCAGTGACAGGCTGACTCTTTGCTGAGTCTTCTCATACTTTCCAGTTTGGCTTTTGTAAAATCCCAGAGTGAAAGAACTTTCTGGTTCTAGCTCAGGCAGCAAAGCTGCACCGCTTGTGTTCCGCAGCGGGCTGGATGGGAAAGCGCCTCCTCTTTCTGTTCCTCGGCCATCGGTTTGGTTGTGAGGACTTGACTTAAGCCTGTTTCTGGAATTCTGCTCCCACCCCAAGCCCAGCTTACTAACAGTCGCCTGGACCGCCGGAGAGCTCGCCGGCACCCTGAGCAGATCAGTGCTGGTGTGGCCGCGGGGTGCGGTGTTCAGCATGGCCCCTCCGTGCAGGAGCCGGGCTGAGGGACGCCTGGCCCCGGGTCCACCGTCCGAGTCTTGTGCATCTGCGCGAGGTCATTTCACTCAGTGGCTTAGCCCCCACAGAGC